GACATAGCTAAGCGCTTTTAGTTTCCCTTTTACATATATACAAGACTATTATTATTCAAATCCCAAACATTTCTTTCACTTGTAATTTATAATCCAAATAAGCGCCACTTTTTGTTTTCTCTCTCCATCCATTTATGGTGGGAAAGGAAAAAATTAAATGGAAACAGAATCATATGGTATGTCTAACCTCTTTGAAAAGCTCAGATTCATGGTTATGGAAATCTTGGCTTGGAGTTAGAAAATTTCTGAAGCTTGGGCTGAGATACAAAGTGGGCAATGGCAGAGCCATTTCTATATGGACTTCACCTTGGGTCCCTGAGGCTGTAGATTTTAAGCCACAATGTTGCTTTGATTCTGATAAATCAAATCTTGTTTTTGTCTCAGATTTAATGAATGCAGAGTGGACACAGTGGGATGAAAACCGCATTTACCAAATCTTCACACCATCAGAGGCCTGCAGTATTATTCAAATCCCAATCAGCAGAGAAGGGCACACTGATCAACTAGTTTGGCACCAAAATCCCAAAGGCCACTTTACTGTAAAAGATGCTTACAACACCATCCTTCTCAGTAAGCAAAATGCACATCATCTTACTGTTGCTGTAGGGGAATCAAGTGGGAGCAAAGCCAGAATGCAAAAGGTATGGAAAGTTACGTGGAAACTCCCAATTCAAAATAAAATTAAAAACTTTGTGTAGAGATGTTGGTATGGATTCCTGAGTTGTAAGGAGAAGCTAAAATCCAGACATTTGTGTGTTGATCCTATCTGTGAATGGTGTGGACTGTGTGGAGAACATGAGGAGACCTTGGAACATATTTTGTTTCTTTGCATCAAAGCAAGGAGTGTCTGGGAAATAGCAGGCCTGCACTGGGATTATTTGAGTGAGAAAGAAGTGTCCTTTCAGTATTGGTGGGAGGACTTGTGCCTCATGAAAGGAGCTGATTCATGGGAGGAGAGGGTTTCCTTATCCACCTACATCATGTGGTGGCTTTGGAAAACCCGTAATTCTTGGCTATTTCGAAAGGAGTATACCTCGGAGCTCTAAATAGTTAAACAAGCAAAAGCTGCATGGTTGGAGTACTCTGACTTTGGTTTGAGGATCCTTAAAAAAGGAACTCCTCCTTGGCAAGACATTTCTTAGTCTTCTGGATTTATTGTTCTCTGGCTGACATTGAAGTTAAAGGAATAGGGTGATCTAAGCATTGCCAGTGCTAATTAGACTTCATATGTTATGCTTCAGAGGGCTTATTTTTTTGATTCAATGTGGCTGGCTTGTGCAATTACTTGGTGCACCTTGTGTTAACTGTATATGGTTTCTGAAATGTTATTTTGCTTTCTAATTGTAGTCTAGTCCTCTTTGTTGCTTCTGTTAGTGATGATCACAAGGATATTATGGTCATCTGTATTTTCTTTTCTTTCATTTTGTTAGCTTCTTTATGGCCTGGCCTGGTCTTGTAGGGAGACATCGAGGTCTAATGTCTCTCCGTTTGTTTTTTGTACTTAGCCTTTTGGCTACCCGAACTATGTATTTTAGAGATGTCTAATATATTTAACGTTTGAAAAAAAAAAAAATGTCTAACCTCATTCCTAAAAAAAATTAATGGAATATCTCTCTCGATTCCTAATTATTCTCTACATAAAAAAATAAAATCCACATTTAAAACTCATTTCCTCTCATGTCCTTCTCTTATCAGCTCTCAATATTTTGTCTTTCGAATTCTTCTCATATTAATTCAATTGCAAAATTGAGTCAAGTGTAAAATATCAACCAAATCAAAATTGAATTAAAAGAAACCCCCCAAAAAAAAAGGCAAACTACATTTTTCTTATTTAACGCAACATAATCGAAAAACAAACTCTTCATAAACAATATTGAGGATGTATTTTGAGTTTACTATTTGTTGTTATTAGTTTCAATGGATTTTTTTTTATTTATTTTACAATCACTAATTTGCTATTAAGATTATAAACCATTTTTATATCAAACAATCTCTCTCTTCCATAAATTTTGTCCCCAGTTACAGAAGGTCATATGAGATAAACTACAAATAAAATATTTATCAATATAAAAAAATTATAAAAAGTATTAAGAATAAAAAATTAATATTTTCAAAAAATACATTAAAAAAATACTTATATTCCTCAAATAAATTATCAGTAACAAAATAAATGAGAACAAATTATAAATTTTAAATTTTCTGAATATATAATATTAAATTATATTTTTACTAATATTTCTATTTTGTATTATAATTATACAATAACAAAAAAAAAATTAATTTATACTGAAGAAATAATTTATATTTATATTATACATTTACATATAGTCAAAATTTAAATATGTAATACACACTTTATCTAATTTAAATTTTTAAATATCACATACGTACATATAATATATAAAATTTTATTTCCCATATCAATAATATAACTTAGTAATCAATCAATATCTAAATGTTTTCTTCAATCCCATCAACTTCTCATTTCACCAAACAAAAAGCACATACAAATAGGCCCTTCAAAATAAGTAAAAGGAAACCCTTCATAAACCGTAAATAAACTACTATATTACAAAGAGAAGTTCATTCAAATCTTCCTGTCGAGTTACTGTGCAATGAGAGAGATAAACACTAATAATAGAACCAAGAAAAAACTAGAAATTCACAATATTATCAAAACATGTACCATTATAAACATATGCATACAATAAACTACTCATAATATAATACAACAACACTATTATATTTGGCTAAAAATAAAGCCACGAAAAAATCAGCCATACCAAGTCGGTCACATATACCATTTTTCCAGATCGACGTTAGTTGTTTTGTGCTTTGAAACAACTCTAAATTCATAGAGTAAACCTTATTCGATTCTTGTTTCTGTGCTCTGAAACCCTCAGTCATGCTACGTCGCCGGCGGCTGTAGATCCCCAAATTCGAGTCGCCGCCGCCATAATTCGTCAATTGATCTCATCGAGCAAAATTCGAAAACGACCGATCAAAATCAAATGTCGGCGATTCTAACTCTACCTGTGAATTAACTGTTATTTTGTCTTATTAACGAAGGGGAGAAAAAAAGGTTGAAGATGATGACGACGAAGAAAAATTGCAGACAAACGAGCAGTTGAGGGATTAAAGAGATATATGAGAGAGAGAATTAGTGGAATATAAAATATCTTTGTGGAATATAAAATTGTTAATTTCGGCTTCGTGGAACGATTGAATTGCAAATTTATTTCCACTAGTATTCAACCTGTGCATTTGCAAAGATATAAATAAATTATTGTGAGTCTGTATGTATATAATGATTAATTATTTTTCTTTCACTTTTTTGCAAACCAAATTTACGAGTTTGAATATTTTTTTTTTAAATTGCGTTTATTTGATTGGATATAATGTATATTTTGGTACGTCTTTTATTTGTGAATTATTTATTATTTATTCAAGAATTTCAAATATATTTTTTATTTTAAAAAAAAAAAATTAAATGTAACAACAATAATAACATCTAATCACATTATACGGTGAACACATAATATGGTCAACTGTCATTAATCAAAAGTTTAAAATGATTTTTGTAATTTTGAAGTGATGAGTATTAATTACTTAATGATTAAATGAAAGATTAAATACATCAAAATGTAACAGTTTTTGGAGGGAAAATTATTAAATTGTCACATAGGTAAAATTAAATAGGTTTTATTAAATTCTATTAGCTAGTAATTATATATATATATAGATTATTATGTCTATCAAAGAAAAGTGGGTCAGGGTGGAATTTTCTCAAAACAAAACACATGATCTTGTGGACAGATGCACTAAATTTTTCAATCACATGTTATTGTTGTGGCCCAAATGACCTAATAGAAGGCCCAATAATAAGTTTCCTACGAGGTCCAATTTATTTGCCCTATCTCCCTCAATTTCTTTCCCCTCATTTCTCTTCATTGCGGGTAACATACAAGTGATGGTTTTTTGAATTATGCTCTTTATCACTTGCGGTATTATCTAAAGGAACATTTTCACTTATCCTACAGGATTGTAGAAATGTTGCAAAATTACCATTCATACACAATTAATTGTGTATAACCTAATAGCTAATAATTAATTACATTGTTGCTTAAAAATAAGTTACAGATCTTCATTTCATATTTGATAGTTACAGATCTTCGTCCCCCTAAAAAAAAAAAAAATCCCTCAGAAAGTTCCCAAAAACCCGTCATCTTCCTCGGCAAGAAGGAGGCCACCAATTTTCCGGCAACGAGAAATTCGTGCGAGACGGCGATCCACGAGCACTAGAAACCACGATTTCAGGCAAGGATATTCGAGGGCACCCGAGATGCACCAAATTCCGGCGAGCATCAGGCCATTCACAGCAGGCAGGCACACTCCGGCTGCAGCCCTTAGACAAGATAGGCGCGCCTGCTTCGTGTGCGACAGTGGCCATGTTCCAAGACACGGGTTTTTCCGGCCACAAGCCCTTGGAAGTCAAGATTTTAAAAGAAAGAAAAAAATACGGCGAAAAAGATAAAAAAGATGACCAACTAGATTCTGCTCAACCACCGTCTGAGACCTTCTTGCCTGGTCGTCTCATCTACGTAATCTTGAGTGTATATCTTATGTATATTTTATGTATATGTTGGTTCTGAAATCGATTTTGATAAACAATTGAAACTCGAGTGTATATTTAAAGTATATTTTGTGTATATGTGGTGTCGCGGATTTGAATTACGTGAATCTCGAGTGTGTATTTTATGCATATTCTATGTATATTTTATGTATATGTGTGTTGTACAACTTTGGTATATACCCGCAACGTGTAAATTTTCATATCTGATGGTAACATATAAATCATGTACAGAATTTTCATACCCGAAACATACAAATTTTCATACCGAAACATATGCTGAAAATATACTGCATATACCCACAACATATACCCGCAACATGTACTATGTATTAACAAATCAATCACACCAAGTGCTCGACAATTATCCTTTGAGAAGTTTTTCGTCAAAACAGATAGAAAAAAGTATATATTTAACATATACCGTACATATACTCATCATATACTGTACATATACCACAACACTACACAAACGATAGAGGCACGATCGATCTTTTTCTTAAGAAAAGTTACACAAATATACCACCGAAAAATAAAACTTGACAGGTCGATTAAAATTAAGGTATCAATGCGCGATCCCATGATCCAGCGGTTCAAATTTGTCCTCCTGCCCACTGAGGAGCATGGTCTGGTCCTCGCACCTCAGCCGCTTCAAGCCTATTGTGACCCCAAAAATTCTAGGGCGCATTCCCTCCTCCGCCGAACCGGCGGGTTTGCGATTAGGGTTTGTTTCATATTTCTCTAAAAAACGAGCTTCTTCTGAATGAGTTTGGGTTTTGATTTTGATAGGATCTTACGAAGCCGGGAACATGACCTTATCTGTGGTGTTTCATCCCCTTCATTCGCCGGTTTTTTTCGAGGAGAGCGAGTAATTTTTATATTCGCCATTGACGTCGGTTGGGAAAACAATGAGAGGTTTTTTGCTTGGGATATGGTGAACGTGTGCGGTGGGTTTCTTTTGTTGCAGAGATATTGAATATTTGGAGAGATAGTGTCCTATTTAATTGTCCATAAATTCTGTAACATTTCCTTAATTATCTAGTCTAATTTAAACGGTCACTCCTTAGGTATATTGGCAATATTTTAGACTTACTTTGGTAATAATATAAATATTTATATAATAAGTGTATAATTATAATATTTTTAAAATGTTGAAGTAAGGAATGTAAATTCCTCTTTATCTCAATGTAAAGATTTCCGATTCCTTCTGAACGTTCAAATCCTATCCTCCTTGGGGGGCTAAAAAATACAAAGTCAAGGAAACCGAAAAAAATTGAGTGAACCTAGTTTTCGCGTGAATCTGATTTTCAACTCTGAGAGTGCCGAGCCTTTTCTTATTTTTCTTTGTGAATGAATTGGAAGCTTGAAACCTAGGTTATTTAGATTATTTGTGAGTGAACCTAGTTTATCCCTCTTTGTAATTAGGGTCTGGAAATTCGACGGGAAACATATAAGCTTTTGTGCGAAGGTGTTGTGTCCGAAGCTAGTATCCAATTGATAATCTTGTGGGTATAATTATACGGGGCCGGAGCCTGAAATTCCCTAAACAAGTTTCGTCTACTTTCGCCCAGATTACAGTGATCTTGTTACTTTCCTCTTAGATTATTATTATTATTATTATTATTATAATTATAATATATATATATATATATATATATATATATTTTTTGGCTTCCCTTTGCGCCACAATACTCGTTGGTTTACTCTTTTGTTGTCTGGACCAAGCAGTAGCAGCTAGCACACCTTACCCAATTATCGAGAGATGCAATTAATTAGAATAATTATTTTTACATCACAAGAAACAGCCTAAAAATATCAGCAGCTTTCATTCAATATTTGTACGTGGAGTGGACACACTTTGTAAAACATGCAACAGTGCTAATACAAACATTCGTAGCTCGCGGCTTTGCTCGCAGAAGGGCCCAAAACGGCATCTGAATTCCCTTTTTCAAGAAAACGCATGCAGAGGGCAAGCGAGACCATGACTGTCAAAGCAAGAAGAATATAAAACCACCAACAAGGTATATCTTTGTACTTCTTCATGAGTTTGGTGTAAATGTCACTCTTGCCCTTTGAAGATGCCCTGTATCGTTCGTATATCTCCCTGCATATTCAATTCAATAATAAGTACAAAAGAATATACTTGCAAAATATAAATAAATAAAATAGAAAATAAAAGAAATACCTTCCGTAAAACAAATCAACATGTGTCATGGTAGATGCAATCGTAGCAAATCCAAACCCATATGTAAGAGAAAAGAAGGTGCTCAAATGAATCCTCCCCAGCTCTCTATACCGATCAACATCCAACTCAAATCTACGGTCCACAATGGCCGATATATTATACTCAAGCCCCAATAGGAAATGGGTATCACGATGTACATTATTAGGAAGAATTTCGAACGTGAGGTTTGAGTGTTGTTGCCGGTAATATTGCGCTTCAGTTGTTTCAGGTACGTCTTTGTTATCTTTTTCGTGTAGTGTTCTGAGGGGGGAAAAAAAGGAATGAGACTATGTATTTAGTGAAAGAACTCATGTAATGTGGCAGTGACTTCACTTTTTTGTAGGCTATCCAGCTTTCACAAATACCAGATATTGGATTCAGAGATTTCTATAATTCCCAGACAAATTATTTTTTGAGAGAATTAGGAATTTAATTGTACGGCTACAGATCTTACTAGCCGAGGCTGTGTCTATTTGGACATGCATGCACTTATCATGTATACAATTGCTTGGACTTTTGTGTTTTAGAGAATGAATGAGCCGTATATCCACTACAAGAAAATGAATAAATTCTAATAAAAGTTAATAGAAATTTCATATTCCATAGGAAATTTCTACGACAATAAACCATTGGAAAAGTGAATGATTGTATCATCAAACTTCAATTAAAATTCCAAAGAAAATTTAATTTCAAGAGAATATTTTAATGTGGAGCTCTACAATTTCAACGAAATTTATATCATTGAAATATTTGTTGGAATATTCAGTGAAATTTTTGTAGTAAGAATTTGAAAGTTAAGGCATGCATTCACGGTCACAAATAACTATAGCTTCCTTCACATTTGTACAAATATTATCACGACATTTCTTCAAAAATAACACGGCTCAAAGGCAGTAGGCATTCTCGTAATAAAACTATAAAAGTAATGTCTACCATACACACAGGTGAGCAATGGTGCGGTTCGGTGAAAAACGACACCGAATCACAAAAATTGAAAAACCAAACCTATAAAAAAAATAATTGAACTGCACTGCAATTTAGAAAAAACCAAACAAAAGCCAAATCGAGTTTTTTTTTTACATTGAAATAACCGAATCGAACAACACTGAAATGCACGATTCGACTCGGTTTTTAATTTTATCACGATTTTTCTATACATTTTAATCAATTTGGTCGTGTTCAGTGCAAAACGACACCAAACTGAACAAAACTGAAAACCAAACCTACAAAAAACTATAATAGCATTGCCTGAACCGAAATTTTTTACATTAAAAGATGCCGAACCAAACCACACCAAATTGCATAATTCGGCTCATTATTTTGTTTCGACTTGGTTTTGCTCACCCCTAACTATACAAATACAAGCCCATTAGGGTCTTCATTTGACAGTTATACCCTTCCATCAAATGTGCATGTTTACATACTATAAAATATAACTTGTCTGGCATGCACAGCCGGCCCTAGTTCAGTCTATAATTATATCTAATATTTTGTGAAATTTTGAAACACACTTACCCACTTTTATGACATTTATAAATTTACCTTCAAATAACCTAACATTATTCCATAAGAAATTAAACAGTACAATAATATAATAAGATATTTAACAATTAACAAAAACA